TAAACCCTAAACCCTACACCAACCCGTCGCCCTAAATACACCATCATTAGCATCTCTGAGCCAGCTGGCAAGCCTACATGGACCATGTTCGGGGGTTTAGGGTTTATCACACATCTGATTGATCTGACGCGCACAGCAATGCAGTGCGGCGCCAACGGTTCCGTCGAGTCCTCATGTGGCGCATTTCGCCATCTACTTTATTGGGCTTGCTAAGCCTGCGGCACACCGAATGGGCTTGCAAAATGTTTCCCGCAACCCTGCATGCGCATCGTCCAGAAATCCTGGGCAAGGACTAAAACGCAGACCACCCATCGGAAAAACAAAGCCCAATCTGGAGACATCAACCCTCGAAACAAGATGATCACTGAGACCAAGATGTCGGAACAGCGCATTGCAAGAGCTACGGATAAAATGTATCAGAACTGAAATGTTGGGACCAGGTCTGTGCGGACTGTCTTGTACAGGCACCCAGTCCCCATAAGGACTGAACCAAAATTGGAATCCCCGCTTGAACAAACCAAAAACCAACTCAATCCAAGAAACATCCGTGGAAACACCACCCCCAATATCAAGACTCAGAAGGGCATCCATGACCTGTGTGAGACAAACAACAGGAAATCCCCCTGGGCATTCTAGCAGTCTTGCCTTCCAGCATAGCGGGAGGCTGTCATGAAGATCAATGGCCTGAAACTGCCAAATCTGCACATCATCCTCTGCCGGATCAACTGCTTCTGGCCTGTGCTCTGAATCTTGCGCGGTGCACTCAGCAATCCGCAGGTAAAAAGTCCGCAGTTGTCGTATGCAGTGTGCCCAGTCCGCATGAAGTTGACTCGCAGCTAGATGCTGATTCACGAAGCTCTGGCATCGGCCCTGATTGGTGAGTCCGGCTTGAACATCCGCGTATTCATTGAACCTTGCAACCCAGAGCTCAAAATCATCTTCACACAGCATGGGGTCAAGGTGGGAGGGAATGTGAGTGACCCTTAGCGCCCCTTCCGGAAAACGCTGAAGAGCAACTAACATGGCCTCCCACAAGTCCCCGTTTTCTTCGTCCCATCCAAGTTCGCCGCCTTGTAAGAGCCTGTTAGCTCCGTCCGCAACGTAACTTGAATCCGTCCAAAGACGCGTCCGAGTCCGGTTGGTGGCCCCCCATTGGACCGCGAAGAGCGCGGCCGCCAACTCCGCCCTTGGAACTGTCTGCGGCCAGCCAGCAAGTTCATGTGCTGCCACAACTGTGTTTGTAGTAGCATCAACAACGGACCAAGCTGCAATGGAAAGGTATCCCTCAAACAGGCGTGTCCCGTCCGTGAACAAGTCATGCCAAGTCCGAAAGCCGGCGTCAAAGTCCTTACCAGGAATGGGTGTCTGGATCTCGACAAGCTGACGCTGCAGTTCTGAAGTGAACGGGTTCGCTGGTGCTAGTAGATGATGGGTCAAACAGTCCGGCAGATCGTCCCAACGCTCCAGAACATCCTCACTTCCCTGACGACAAGCATTGTACCTGGAACAGAAACGAACTTTGTGCTGAACCGTGTCCAAAACCCCACAAGCAACGCACATCGCGTCCTTGGTGTGATCGTATCTGCTATGCTGGGCATTAGAGATATTACTACCAGACTGCAACGCTCGAATCCTTGCCACTTCTACTGCCTTCAGTTGTTTGCTGTCCAGATGCGCGAGCTCCATGTCCAGTCCATGTAGGGCCTGCATAGTCTTCCGATGCCTGTGCTGACCGGCCACCTGTCGGCCCAGCCCTGCTCAAGGAGCTTTCGCAAAGAACCTTTGGGGGCCCTGAACAAATCAACCCGAATCCCCTGGGAACTGATGAGAAATGGAGGCTCTACGGACCATCGCATCCTGGTGCAGAGCTGCAGAAGACTGCTGAACGGACCTGGAAAGTACCGGCCTTCAAAGTGTTGGACAAAATGCGCCCACGATTCAACAAGGTCAGGCTGCTTCTTGCCCAATCTACGGAGATCATACGGAGATCATTGACAAGGTGCCAAAGCTGATAGAACCCCGGATCCGCACACATATCCTGCGCGAGGATGAGCCGCAGAGAGGAACTAGCCCCGGCAGGCCTGATGCCGATGGCCTGAGTAGCTTTTGCCCGAAGAGCCCCAAGCCGAGCTTCACTCATGACACAACCGGCTCCACCGTGCAAAACCTTGGCCCAGGCCTTAATGGGGAGCATGGCCAACTTGACTGGTGTTGGTGCTCCTGACCGCCTGAGAGATTGCCAGAAGCCGGCAAGCGCCTTGAAAAGGTCGTCCTGGAGTGCGACCCTGGCCTGCTTCCCGAAGGTCATGACACCTCCCAGGTCTTTAGCAGCATCAACCACAGTCGCTTTAAAGCGCGTTTAGACGCCGGCCGCAGGGCCCATGCAAAAGTTTTGACCCCATCAATTTCCAGACTCCACATGTCTGCAAATGACCGAGTGCAGGTGAGGGCTTGCGCGAGACCGGCAGTGTCCCGAGCCATGCAACTAAAATTGTCCACGAAACTCAGAGGTACTGATGAAGGGGCATATTGCTGCAGATAGAGGTGCCAAGCCCAGTCTATAATGGTCATTGCGACCGTGGACATTGGATCTCCTTCCGGGAATCCTGTGGAAGAAAGGATCTGCTCTCCTGCCTCCCCATGAACCACAAAAGACCTAGAAAGGCCGCCCAGGAACTTGTCCCATGCTTGGATCAAGAAGTTCGGAATCCCAAGCCGTGACGCTGCAAGGAAAACGGGGGCCCTTGGTAGCGTGTTGAACTCCTTATCCAGGTTCATGATCAGACCAATAAGCATCTGAGCTGGCCAGTCAGCGTCTCCAGATTCAATCCTGGAGAGGAAGGAGATAAGCTCTTGCTTCATGGGAGGAGGCATGTTGACAAGGTCAGACTTAGCGAAGCCATCCACACCTCTAGCAGCCAACGGCTTGTAGCGCTGCAGCGCTTTATTCCAAGTCTTGATGTTGAGAGGCGGTAAATCAAATGAACAGGCGGGAAGGTATGCATTGCAGAAGTCCAAAGCCCTCCGCCAAAAACCAACTTCAACTCCTGCATGTCTTTGCCATTTGGCCGCCCAATGACGGGCGAATTCTGCCTGAATGTCGGCGGCGGACGTGATGATCTGACGCTGGGTCAACTCCTGACCCACAATCGGGCGCTCACTGGACACGACTTGACACAACTGACCGTCCACCTCCGTGACCCGACAGGGTTGACCTTCCAACTGCCACGAACTGTGACCTCGAGAATCCACAGGTTCTTCCAGGAAGACTTGATGACTGTCAGGGTCAACATCGCCCACAATGTGGGTGTGGTGGAACTGCAAAGAGTCCACTGTCTGCGAGCGGTCTTTTCTCAACTCCCTGAAAACCTGTTCTCGGCCTTGTTGGTGCTTATGCTGCAGCACGTCCCGTCTAGCTCGCCCATTCCAAGCTTCAAAGGACTTGAAGTTCGCATGAAAGTCCTCATATACGCGCTGAATGCCTTCCAAACACAACACGGCTGGGGGAAGAAGGCCAGGACTTCCCTGCAATTGAATCCGGCGCGTCTGCCACCAAACGTGAAAGGCCTCCTTTGAAGGCACGACAGGACCTAATTTTGTGCCATAACTCAGCCCTGTAGACACAAGCGTTGGGGTCCTGCTTATTGGACTTCAGAGAGTGAACCAAACTCTGAATCCTACGAAGCTGCTTAAACCACAAAAGCACTTCGTGGCCCACCAGATCGGATGCCAAGGAGACTTCCCCTGCCCGGCTAGGCTTTGCCAATGAGGACGCCGCGGCCTGCTGGCGTGGCTGTGTGCGCGAAGCCCTCCCAAGACACGAACGGGGAAGAGCAGAGCCTGAGCCGGTCCTGACGTGATCTGCCACCGAGGCCTCAAAATTCTTTGCAAAAGCACGATACCAATCCGTGGAGGCTTGTGCAACAGGAGTGGAGGAGCAAGGCGCCTCATGCCAGGAAGCAACATCGATCTCATTCCAGGGGAGGAGCGAAGGTAAAACCCAAGCCCTTGAAACTGTGCCTTGACCAACGCGTGATCGGCAAACATGTTCTCAACCGAGACTCCAATGCATAGCGCTGCCAGCTCCGGGCTGACATAGATGAGATCCCTTTGAGTGGCTCCCTTGCATGTTGGCCTGGGTTCCCAACCCCAATGCATGCTGGCGTGGATCTGAATTTCAACCCAGCCGCATTCTTCCCATTGCCTGACCTCCAGGAGACTACGTGGTGCCTGATTGAAGTCACCCGCCACATATCTCGGGCCGGTGCGGCCATGAATCAGGTCTCGAGTGACCCCCTGAAGGAGAGAGTCTGTGGCATGACATGCTGCAGGATGTGAGGAGCTAGTGGGATACCCGTAAAAGACCACGCCCGTAATGGGCATCCCCGCAACATCATGAAAGACTGGAAGGACTCTGCCCGAGGCAACAACATCCTCAGGCCAAGCCAGGTTAAGCTTCCTGCTAGGGAAGTCCGCAATGCTCATCACACCTGTCCAGCTTCCAGCCCAGGCACTGTGCGTCCTGAGCGGGGCGGGTGCTCCATGAAAGGTCCTGACCTGGCGATTCTGCAAAGCGGCCAAATGCCGTACTGTCTTTGATGCGGATTGAGCTGTGACCGAAGAAAGCTGAGTTTCCGCCACACACCAAATGCCTTGACCCAATTCTGTCATCAGGCCTTCTTTTCCCCTTACCCCGGAGGGATTCATAGCGCCGATGGCAAACGAACCCTGAACTTGCTCAGGACCTGGATGATCGGCCTCGCCAAACCTGAAAGCCTGTTGACTTCCCACAGCAACAGGCACTCTGTGCTCAGTCCCCGGCATGAAGCCACTGACAATGTGGCTTCCCCGCCCTGAGTGCGGACTTTGCAGTGCATTGGCAGGCATGAGGCAACAAAGTGCAATTAATACTTGAAAAACCATTCTGAAGGGGCTGCTTCTCCTGCCAGGCTTGCCGTCAGCCCCTTGACGGCACCCCGTCCGCCCTAGTCAATCTAGGGCCTTCCGTTTTGCCAACATGCTTTGGAACTGTTCCATTTGTTGCTGGAACTGAGCACTCATCTGATTGGCAAAGGCGGTTTGCATGGCTTGAAAAGATTGATTGACCGAGGATTGAACGGCAACTTGGGTAGTCTCAGCTTGCTGAACAATCTGCTGGTGCACATTTTGCAGTGTGACCTCCTGATGCGAGACTGCAACCTGTACCTCCTTGAGATCAGCTGCCGACTGTGCAACCTGGCTATCCACTGAGGCAATCCACTGTGAGAAACGATTGCCTTGCTCACGCATCTCTGTCAAGTCAGCCTCGAGCTTCTCAAAACGGGCCTCATTCTGCTTCTGCGTCTTGCAGGCAAAGTCCTGTACTGCAGAAGCTGCATGTTGTTCGGCAGATTGCTGAGCACTCTTGAGGAGGGTACTTTCGAGTGCCTGAATGCGCTTCTGCCTCTCTGGTGCTTTAACTGGTGCTGAGGGCTGCCCTGTTGCAGCCTTGAAGGCAGCCCACGGATCCGGAGTGTGAAGCCACGGGTCTTCAGCTGTGTTGTCCTGGCTCGGTCCAGCTTGCTGCTGCAGCAACTGTCGAGTTTTTTGGCTTGCATACACTGTCGCGGGGGCTTCTTTGGAGCTGCTGCTGCTGCCGCCTACAGGAGTAGCTATTGCGAAGCCCTCACTAGTCGCCAGTGCAGGCCGTGGCGGATCCGACTCGGCGCCGATCAGCCAGGCCGTACCTGACCCATCGCCTCTGGCAGGCTGAAGGGGGGGGGCAATCCACTGCCAGGACTTGAGGAGGCCAATAACGTCTCCTCTCTGCGTTCCGTGCGGTAACGGATGGAGACGAAAGCGCTTGGCTATGCGTGCCTTCACGAAGGGGATGCTTGGATGAGCCTGGAGGAAAACAGACTCCTCGTCACAGTCCTTGACTCGGACTCCGTACTTTAGGCCCAACCTCGCGACCGTGATGGCCTTCGGGTTTGTGCGAACCATGTGCCTGGCTGCCTCCCTGGAGGCACCTGGGAGCCAGATAATGCGGAAGGCCTCGTGCGCGCCGATGCCTGCAACGTGGTTCTATGTAGATCCCCCTCCGCCTGAGAGACTTGAAGTTGATTTATACTGCTGAAGCTGGAACACGAATCAGCACGGAGAAGACCTCGGCCTGTTCCTGTGAGACTTGCTTGCCCTCATATGTCAGAAATTGCCGATTCCACAGGTCCATCACCATTTGATCGATGGATTCTTCAATGGCTGGGTGGAAATGCGGGCAGTCAAGCCCACACTCCTTGCCTTGACAGACCTTGAGAGCCGGAATTGCATTTATGATCCACTTCACCGGTCCGGCACAGAAAGTGGACCAATTTGACGCAAGCTCATCCTTGAAGGCTGACACTTTGCATATTCCAGTGACCAAGCTGGATGTCTCGGCAATTGAGCCTTGCGCTAGCTCTACCGGAGAATCCCCCAGATTGATGAGGTTGCCAGTCAGCAACATGGGCTCTCCCGATGGCTGAAAGACGGCCGGGAATCGAATCACTTGTGGGGCTTTGTCCGTCTTAACATCCTGAGGAAGGATAGAGGTTGTGACCAAACAAAGGGGATCAGAACTGATGGAATTGCCCGTCAGAAAGGGCGCTGCTTGCATGGCCGTGCAAAAGGCAAGCCCGTGTGCATCTGTAACAACCTCAACAAACTTGATCTGGTGCATTGACTGGCCATCTGCAGCAACAAAGGAACCCTCCGCCAAGACCAAGTGATCCGGATTCACTTGAAGGCTTGCAATGGGCTTAGAGGCGCCTGCTTGACGTCTTTTCTTTCGCCCCCCTTGCGGGACCGCTGCCCCAAATTCAGACTCTGCCTTCTGCCTGATCCTTTCCTGCAGCTCTTCAGGCATGATGATGCGAAACGTCTTGCCAGGCTTTGTGGCAGCTGCAAAGTGTACCTACCCAGCTAGTTTGGATACTCCCCTAGTACCCTGATTCAGACATCATGAGCTAGTTGTTTGAAAGGAGCTTCTTCGGATGGTTCAAGGTTAACACCTCTCACTCCCCCCGAATGGGAAGTAAATAAGAAATGCCTGGAACAACTTAAGCCCATATTGGA